TCATCAAATCTAAATCAAATCAAGGGATTATAGGGTTTTTTTGGTTGTGTTATTATATACATAAGTTTGAAAATGGGTATGTCTTGGTACATTGGTTCTGCTCTTATCTGCTCTAAGGCGGCAATTGAATATGGGTATACTCTTAATAAGGATTGCAGATGCTCTAAGACAAAAATGGGTATACTCTCAATGGTATGTACAATTCCATGCCTTTTGCTGTCTTCTATTGCTAAAATTTTGTGTTACCTAATTATCTAATCTAAAGTCAGCAATAACTTGATATATTCGTAGTTCACTGTTTGGTTTTGATTGAGACAGTTAAATCAAATGGAGATGATATAGATATGCTTGGACATATAAAACAAGAACTTGGATGCAAAGAAAAGCCCTAAATATTAAGGAATGAGGAACTCAGTTTATAAATATGCTTGGACATATAATCATCCACTGGGAAACACTTTTCTTGGTGTTAAAAGAAATGGTCATGTGGAGCCAAGATGGGCCCAATATCATGATTAACTGTTGAATGCTGATTCAGAATGTGTTTGATACTGGATGATAATTAATTTGCTGATAAATTTTTTACTTTCCTGGATTAGGAACAATTTATATCTGCCTTTAAGTGAAATTTATATTTATGTGATATAATATTTATTTATCCTTATATATGACATAATAAATATATAAAATTATATATTGTGCATGTGTCCCAGACGTGTCATGGCCTACATTTTTTTGAAAATTTACATATCCATGTTGTGTCATGTGTTTGTGTCCATGCTTCTTAGTGGTGATCCTTTTCATCTGTTCTTTTGAAGTTCGATATCATCTTGATGAGGATCCAAAGACTTTGAAGGTGTTTCCTATTCCACTTCATGATTCAAGTGGAACTACCTTGCATTATGATCATCTCAGTATTTCTCCTGATGGAAGGATGTTGGCAGCTACTCATGGCTCAACATTGCAGTGGTTAAGTGCTGAAACTGGGCAGGTTTTGGACACAGCTGACAGGGTTCATGATCCACTGATTTTCTTTTTCTTTCTTTTTCTTTGTTTCTTTATCCTTTTCCCTACAGTTAGTATTTTTTTGGGTGAATACCTACAGTTAGTATTTTATTCTGCTTTATGATGGAAAATCAATCATGACATAGTCAGGCTTTCACTTCCATTCCACATTGTTTTTATTTTATTCCCAAGTTATTTTCCTGGAAAACAATGGGGAATTTCTAAAGCCCGAAACTTCTTTTTTTTGTTGAATGGTTTTTTGTCTAAAATAGAAATTAGAACATTGTTGACCTTTTCTTTTTTCTTTTTTTTCAATATGTAGAATGTGGAAATGATATCTTAGTACTATGATATAATAAAATATAAATGTATTTGAAGAAATTATTATTTTCATGTATAGTATACATATGAAATATATATTTATTTGCTACTATGCCCCTTCCTGTCGTGTCTTGATTTTTCTAAAAGTTGTTATTGGTATCAAATCAGGTCTCTGTACTATGTCTGGATCCATGCTTCTTAGATCGCAAGCATGAATATGTTTCAAAAATTAAGAGGCTACTGTTTGCCATTTCTTTGGATATTTGTGCAACTTAATGTTGTTCTCTCTTCAAAGTTTGAGCTTGTTATTGGCTGTGAAAGTTGCTGCTGTAATGTCGGAATCTTGGCAAATATCTTTTCACTTATCCACACGAGAGTACACACACTAGCTATTAGAATTATAGAACATTTATTTCTGATACACAATGATTATTTCCCTGCCTTGGGACCCTGCAATCTTATATTTTACCTATGACTTTCTACTGATGTTGCAGACTGCATTTTGATGCTGTTTTTTGTTACTTGATGTGCGTGTATGCTATGCATTAGATTGCCTTCCCCTATAATTGAATTTTCTTTAGAAATTATGTATTAACTTTGATCTACATGCAGGTGACATCACTGGCATTGCATGGTCCCCTAGGGCAATATCAATGGGTAATTTCTTCTCCCCTTTTAGAAGTTGCTGTCTTATCTGCACATATATCCTTCAAATTTTTTTTTCCAAGAGCCTGTTGTGAAATCCCCTGAAATGGGCCAGGTCAGATCCTCAAACAGCATGTTGTCTCCATTCTTTGGATTGTTTTTAGCCTGTTTTTTAGGAGAGTTGTTAACCACCATTCTGCCATCTGCAATGCACTGAACAGTTTAAAGTTATAGCCTCGTGAAATCATTTCCATCCTTCCACTATTCAGAAGATAAAATGAGTTTTTATCAGTTGCTGTCAGACATTATGTTTTTTTTCCCTTATGAAAATAAATTCATAGACAATATGCTATTTGAAGTCTAAAGAGTATTCTCCATAGGGTGCAGTGAAAGCAGGGATTCCAAGTTATTATTGACCCAAGATTTGGTTAAATTCTGGATTGATGGGTCCCATACACTGACCCAACCTGAGAATTGACTCTCATTGGATGGCACAAGTATATCTCTAACACTAGCGAGATTATGCTATTGTGACTTTCTATACGTACTTGGTAGCACAAGTTATTTTCCTTACAAACCTCTAGTATGGAAAAGGCTGTGTTTTTTTGTTTTGTTTTGTTTTGTTTTTATTTTTTACGTCTTCCTTTGAATCAGGGGCAGTGGTTTTTATCCTTTATACTATGAAGGTTTGGTTTTATTTATTTATTTTTTTGTGAATAATTTGGAGAGAGATATGGTGGTGATAGACCTTGATTGAAGCCGCTTTCTCTCTCTTCTATAAAATCTGGCTGTCTTTTTTCTCACTAGCATGTCATCCATGAACTAGGCATTTTCTTTGAGCCTCCATGGCTGATAGTTGGCATTTTTCTAAATTTACATAATAGCATCCAATACATTAAAAAATTATGCAAACGTAGAAAATCAGTAGGTTATACAGTAGTCCTTTGATGGGACCTTTTTCATTGCCTTCCTTTCCACATGGTTTGTTCACTTTCTTGTTGCTAATATGGATTTGCTACTGATTCCTTATTTGTCCATTCATCACTCTTTATTCAGTTCTTCACAGTGAGTTGTCATCTGATTTAAATCATATAAAAAATTTTCTTCTTTCTTTTTTGCTATGCATACTTACATTATGTTTTTACATTTTTTCCCAACAGGAGATAAACAGGCATTGGTTTTAGCCACCTCGAGCGTCGACAAGAAAGTGAAGTTGTGGGCACCTCCTAATTTAGCATAAAGGATTCAGCCCCTGCATTACCATGAACCATTGGCAGGAAGCCCTTGTTCCGATGTCACTTGTTCAGCCTTTGGATATGCCTAACTTCTCAGCCACCTTATCACAAGCTCAAATCCTTAACTACTAATTTTGAAGAGATTGATACCCTCTGCTGAAAGAAGGCTAGACTTACGGCAAGTTCGGAAAATGAGCAGACACGACACTAGTTTTTTATGTTTTTGTTCTTTGGTTCCTTTCATTTGCATAGTCTGATCTTACTGATCTTGGAAGACTCGGCAAGTTTTTTACAGAATTAAACAATATGGATGGTTTTGATACTTCTAGCGCACCCAAACTATAAACGGAGGTTGTGATACCACTCTGGTTTCAAATTTAAATGTTATAATGTAATTCTTAACCAATTCGATTTTTGTTTTGTGACCCTATCTGAGTGATTTAAAGTCCGGTTGAAGTGAATACTGATGATACTGATACCATCTGATGGTTGTGGCTTGGCAGTGGGGAGCTTATTCTCATGTTGTGTGGTTTGGTGAACAAGAGAACACAGGTTAGTTTTTGGAGCAACGTTGCTATGCATAGATCGACTGTCTTGTTATTTCTTGCTTGGGTTAAAATGAAAATATTGATACTGAATATCAAGAATTTTAGATAAATAAGAAACAGAGAAATTAATTATAAACTAATAGGAAAATATTTTTTTATTTTTAGAAAGTGATAAATATTTTTTGGATTAAAGTTTTGCTAGTGTCATTACACTACCACCGCCGCCATCACGATCTCCACCCTCTTGCCGCCACCATCACCACTAACACAATCACAATTTTTTTTTGGTCAAAACAAACCGAGCATAAGAGTAATGTTGTAATAACTGTCTATTTCTATCCTCTTATGATTCGGTATGATGTAATCTAAATGTTTTTCGTGCTGTGTTGTGATACAGTTCTTATTTGCATATTCATTTATTTGTAATTAATTTTTCTTTTATTTTTTACTTTTCTAAAATAATTCCAGGTGTGGGTAGCATCACGAAAACTCGTACAGAGCTGACGATTTATCACACTTTCGTGAGGAAATTAACACTTCAATTGGCATTTTTAATGTATGATTCATAGTAATTTTCATGGTAAATTATAAATACATCTCTTTTAATTTGCTCAAAATATAAATTGTTAATTTTGAAAATTACAAATATTTGAGTGTCATAATTTCTTATTTAACTGAATTAACAAAAAAAAAAGAAAAAGAAATTCCTAATTACTTTCTTATGCACAATAAAATTATCAAAATTGTTGATGGAAATATATTTTTGATATCATTAAAAATTGTTAATTGACTTAATGATTTTATCAATAAAATGGGTTGTTTATTATGCAATTAGAAATTTGAAAAGGCGAGATATAATTTTCGAAATTATAGGGGATAATTTGTATTTTAACAAAGAATGCAGCTTCTCTCCCATCCGTTTTCGAACTGGATGATGCTGTTGGGACTTGGTGGGCCCAACTTTGAGTCCATCTCAATGATCCAAACAGTTAATGTGTAGAGTTCGTTGAGTACATTATTTTTACAAAAAATTACGTTGAACGGACATTGATGACCATTTGATCATATTACATTTGTATCTGTGATTTATTTTTAAAATCATAATTGCATTGAAACAAGTGCAAACTAATCAAATGGCTATTAATGTTTGATCAATTTGATTTTTTGCAGGGATGATATACTTGACAAGCTCTACATATTGAATGGTTTGAATTATTAAAATAGCCTAAAATTGGGCCCATCAAGGCCCAACAGCACTATCCAATTTGATTTTAGATTAGAAAGAAGTTGTAGTATTTAAACAAATACCTGGAGATATATTTATAATTGATCATGATTTTTAATATTTATGAAGCAATGACTATGACTTGCAATATGTTGTGAAAAGGTGACCCTATTGAAATGATCATTCACATCCACACAAGAAAAAGGACTCACGGCCAATGCATCTATGCTGGGCCATATTTGATTGTTGGATAAAGTTGGTTGAGATTATAATTAGAGTGAAATTGAGTGATAAAATTAGGGGAAATTACTATTCAAGTGAAATTTTAAAAAATTATTATGTATTGGTGAAAAAATTTATTATTTTAATTATTAATATTTATAATATTTGTCATGTTTTTGTAAATAATTTTCTGATTAACCATCGACTGGTAATTCTGCCATAAAATTATCAGTTGGGTAGGAATTGGAGATAAGGTTAGAGATAATAATGAATGGTGTAGGGTTGCTAAGGCTGTTCGGTTAGATATGAATGGCTCTGCTCGAGTAAAACAGCGCCATCGACTCCAAGGCATCTTAGTTGATGTCGGCACGTATAAATTGAGTTTTTGAGGCAATATTAGGATTGACAAAGTTATTGGAACAAGGGACAGCTCGTCTCCAGTTTATTTTGTGGATTGGACGGTATTATTAGGTTTATGAGATCCATCACGGGTTCTATTTCGATAATTCAAATAATTGTATAGAACTCATCGAGTACTTTATTCTTGTAAAAAATCATGTTGATCAGATATCGATAATTATTTGATCAGATCAGATTTTAGTCAACAATTTATTTTAAAAATTATATTTACCATTGACAAAAATCTAATCCGATTAACGTAATTTTTTACAGAGATAAAATACTTGACGAGTTATACACATTGAAAGGTTAGAATTATCGAAATGGACCCGTGGTAAACTCCCACGGGCCTCATAGTATGCTCTAGTCCAATCACAAATTGGATAGAAGCCTGCCCTAGGAACAATTATACTTTTGGTCCATGCATGACACTATCATTTCTTCTAACAACAATGATTCATCCCACTAAAAACATCACCACTAATAGCACTAATGCATTAAAAAAGTTAAAAAAAAAAAAAAATACAACTCCAAGACCAAAACATCACATCATTAATGGCGGGACCCACTGCCACCTAATTAGTGGGAGCACTAATTAGTGCTCCCAAGCATTTTTCTTCTTCTAATATATGACAAATTAGTGTTATGATTACATGATTTTGTTTCTCTTAGTACTGCAATTTTGAATTATCTTTAAGAATATTTATTATTTTAAAAAAATAGTACGCCAAACCTTCAAACAATTGATGGTCAATTGAAATTTTTTGTTAACTTGTGTTTGAGAACGATAATAATTTGTACTTTGTTTTCCGTAACAAAAGTTTATGCAAGTCAGTTTCTCCGTGGTCTAATGATATGATCCGCAGAGTCGGGGCTAGTTCCTTGATTTGGTTATCCTACAAAACAATGTTTTTAAATCCGAATCGGACCGGTCGGTTGGACCAGTTGAATTAGAAACCGGGCCTTGTTCCGGTCTGGTCAACCCCCTAAACCCGGAGTGGGACCAAAATCGGAAAAAATTGGTGACCCAATGGTCGAACCGGAAAAACCGGTGACCTAAACCGGGTCAAGATGGTTGTACCAGCTTGGTTTTTTTATTTTATTTTTTTTTCTTTATTTTCTTTTCTTTCTTATATATTTTTATATATATATATATATATATATTTCAAAATTTTGACTAAAAATTCTTATTTCAAGAATCTCCTCTCATAATGAAGAGTCTCATTGAAAGCTTGAGAAGATTATGAAAGTCTATTCCTATTTATAGGAAAAGATTTTTCAAAGAGAACCTACAAAATTCTATGTGGGATTCAATCAAATTTTGGTCGCTCGAGCGTACAACTCCAAGACCAAAACATCACATCATTAATGGCGGGACCCACTGCCACCTAATTAGTGGGAGCACTAATTAGTGCTCCCAAGCATTTTTCTTCTTCTAATATATGACAAATTAGTGTTATGATTACATGATTTTGTTTCTCTTAGTACTGCAATTTTGAATTATCTTTAAGAATATTTATTATTTTAAAAAAATAGTACGCCAAACCTTCAAACAATTGATGGTCAATTGAAATTTTTTGTTAACTTGTGTTTGAGAACGATAATAATTTGTACTTTGTTTTCCATAACAAAAGTTTATGCAAGTCAGTTTCTCCGTGGTCTAATGATATGATCCGCAGAGTCGGGCCTAGTTCCTTGATCTGGTTATCCTACAAAACAAACCTATGAGGATTCATTGGTAAGTGTCTTCTTAAGTTCTCATGACTAAATTAGTCTCTCGGCAGTCTTGATTTCCAAGTTTGCATGGCCGACTGGCTCAAGATCTTGGGCTTGGGTTGGGCCCATGGTCAGATTGAACCGTAGGCATCAAAAGTATTAAGTGCCATAAAATAAAGAGAAAATTGATTTAAAATCTCTACCCAACTTTTAGTACGAGGAGAGATTCATAATAATATTTTTTGTTACCTAAGGTTCCTTAATGTTATTTTAGTTTATAAAATACCTATTTTGCCTTTCTTTATAATATACGTGATTTTCAATTTTGGAAACTAAAGATTACGTTGCTATTTTTGTAGGAGATTTTGTTGGGATGAGCTTGATGATGCAGATTTTCGTGAAAATTTTATAGTGATTTTGTAGTCGTGTAGAAGTTGATTTTCGTTGGTCGTGAGAATTTGATTTTCGTTGATCGTGTAAAAGTTGATCTTGTAGTCGTGTAGAAGTTGATTTTTGTTGATCGTGTAGGAGTTGAAGTCGTGTTGATTTGATTTCCAATGGAGTTGAATTAGTTAAGTTTTTTTGATTTTTCATTTGATTTGTATGTAAGGACTCGGATTTCAGAGAAGTTGGTCTAGTGTATTTTGAATTAGGTTTTTATTTTCATTTTTGATCAATGTGAGAGAAAAAGCTAGCTCAGTGTAGTTGTTTTTTATTTTTGAAGTTGATTTTTCATTTTTTTGTTATTGACGATGGAGTTTTCTGCACTTTCTTAAGTTTTGTGCTCTGTTTTTTTTTTTGAACTTTTCATTTATTCTGCACTTTTCATTTTTCTGCACTTTTCTTTGTATTCCAGAGAAAATTGTATGTTTGTTATTATAATCCAACGGAAATCACAGAGAAAATTATAAGCTTGTAGTCCAGTGAAAATCACATAGAAGATTATAATTTCATAATAGATCTTCTCTGTGATTTTTGTTAGTGATTGTGTTTAATAGTTAGCATTAATTTTCTCTGTGATTTTCTTTGGACTCATGAATTTTCTCTGAACTCATGAATTTTCTCTGTGATGTTTCTCTGTGATGTTCTATGGTATCATTAATTTTCTTTGTGATTTTGTTTTCTTTATCTTGAAGGTGAATATAAGTTCCTAAATTTCTCTTGATTTTGATTTGAGTCCAATACTGCACAATCACATAGAGAAAATTGTAAGCTTATAATCTAGTGAAAATCACAGGGAAGATTATAATTTCATAACAGATATTCTGTGTGATTTTTGTCTATGATTGTGTTTAATAGTTAGCATTAATTTTCTCTG